AGTAGTATAATTCCTTATTAGTGTAGTACCTAAGTATTACTTTATTATTAATCCTCTTAAGATAAAAGACGTTAATCCCTTTAGCTACGTTATATATACTATATTTATTATAGATATAGTTAGTCTAGAATACCTTCTTATATAATAGGTGCTCTAAGGCTAGGTGTTTATAATCTCTAAACTTAGGGCTTTCCTAGTTTAAGATAATAGGTTCTTCTTTAATATTAATATCCTTAGTTTTATAAAAGTAAAGACTTTAATTATTTATTTCTTTAGAGATTTCTTTAAAGGTATAATTATATATCTTAGTAGTTATATATATTACGTTAGTTTATAAGCTATAAGGTTCTTAACCTTTATTATTTATACTACTTATAGGTAGTAAAAAAAATAGTATCTTATTAGCTTATTATTAAATATACTAAGTTTTTATTTAGTTTATTTAATTATTATTAGGTTTACTTAAGTTAATCTTATTAGTTATTTTACTACTTTTTATTTTATCTTATTTAGTAATACTATTTTATAGTAAGAAGGTTCTTTATTACTTTCTTTTTTACTACTAGTTTTTATTTTATTAAAACTAGTTCTTTATACTATAATAGTTTCTTTTAAGGTTAGCTCTTAGAAATAAAGTTAAAGTTATAAAAACCTAGTTCTTTTTCTTCTAACTACTAGGATTTTAACTAGTCCTAGGATTATATATACTCTTACTTATAGGTCCTTTATAAGTTTAAAGGTATCTAGAATATTTATTATCTTTTAGCTAGTAAGGTTCTAAGCTAGTAGTTAATATAATTAAAAATAGACTCTTACTATTATATAAGGCTTTTCTTTAATACTTATTTTATAGTTAATTTATTATTTAAACTAGTGTAGCTTATTATATAGTAACTATATAGTTAAAGTTATACTAAAATAACTTATTTATTATACTTATTTAGTAGTTATTAGATGTCTTAGTTTATAGTGTCTAGAATTCTTTATAGGTTTTTAGTCTAGTAAGTAATAGCTTTTTTACTTACTATAACTATCTTAGTTATTTATATACTAAAGTCTATAGCTTTATATATAGTTTATTTAAAATCTTATTCTAATTACTATTATTTTTAGTAGTTATCTTAGGCTTTAATATAAAGCTATAACTATTTATTAAGAGTGTCTAAGGTCTTCTTTATATAGCTAGTCCTATTTATCTCTTATAGCGTCTTATATCTAGATTAGTTTAATAATAAGTTATTAGTTCTATTCTTTAGAGTTCTTAACTTCTTAAGGCTATTATTTTCTAGCTACTATAATAGTCTTAGTAATTTCCTATAGGTAGTTTTTATTAAGTGTCTTTAGTAAGTTATAGTTTCCTTAAGTAGCTATTTATTATTTTAGTTATTTTTCTACTAGTTTTAGTTTTTTTATATTAAGGGTATTAAGGTACTAGGTTTTAAGTTAATTATAGATTTATATAAGCTTTATAATAATATTTAAGTTTTAGATATCTATAGCTTATTTACTTTTATTACTTTACTAGTAGGTAATTACTATAGTTTATTAATTAAGTTACTAAATATCTATAGGCTTAGTAGTTTATATTATAGTGTTAGTAGTTTCCTTAATAGTATTATTATATAGTTTTTTCTTTAAGATATTAGCTATCTTAATCCTAATCTACTTATAGAATTTCTTTATATTAATTATTATATCTTAATATAGTTTAGTAGTGTTTCTTAGCTTCTTTAGGTACTATCTTACTTATTTCTTACTTTCCCTATAGGTAAGGTAGTTATTATTATAGTAAGTAGTTTATAAGAGTTATTTATAAAAGATATATTTTTAGGCTACGCTAGCCTTTTTAGTATACTTAGGTAGGTTCTTATATTATAGTCTTTTTAGCTAACTATAGTCTTATATAAAATATCTTATTTTTTTATTATTATAGTATTTTATAGTACCTACGTCTTATACTAGCTACTAATCTTATTTCTTTATAACACTAATATCTATTAGTCTTATATATTATATATAAGTAGTGCTTAGGTAGTTATTATATAGTTACTACTAGTTACTTTATCCTCTATTTTATTAGTAAGGCTACTTAGGTCCTTAGGCGTACTTCTTACCTATATTTATATTAAGTTATTAGATCTCTTTTTATTCCTTATGTTATTTAAAAAGTTATATATTAATCTTAATAGTAAGTTTAATATAAAATAAGAAATCCTTTAGTAAGCTAATAATCTTAATAAGTTTATTTTTAACGTTATCCTTAAGTCCTTAATAGAAAGTAAAGATTAGTAATTCTTAAGTATATTAAGTTAAGTAGCTAGTTATTAGAATTTAGCTATAGGTGCGCAACCATACCCCTGTCCAAACGAAGTAACACTGACCGCGTCGGGAGAAGCTATATGGTGCGCCACTGGTACTCTCTTGAGGGAAGTTACAACTCGTTCAAGCCCTGGCACCCAAACGGTTCGGTCAGTGGGCGTGCCATGCCAGCCCGCAACCGCCCTACAGGACCGGTTTTATAAAAGTAAATAGTAAGGTTACTATTATACTTAAGAAATTCTTCTAAGTAAGGTTTATACTAAGAGAGTGCTTTTTTATAAAAAAAAAAGTTTTTATATAAATTACTTATTTAGTTTTACTTCTAAAGTTAGTAATATAAAAAGTCTAATAAGTATATACTTAGATTAGAAATCCTTTTAGTTATCTACTAGTACTATTATAAGTACTAAGTAAATTAAGTTTAAGTTTATTACGTCCTTTTATAAAGGTAATAATAATATTAGCTACCCCTTATAACATATAGTTATCCTTCTTAAGTTTAGTAACTTCTCTCTTTTTTTCCTTAAGCTTAGTAAAGGTAGTAGTTATTATAAATTAAAGTTTATAAACTTTATTACTTTTACCTTTAAGTTTATTCCTAAGTTTATTTATTATAGTTTATATCTTAGGTATATTAGAATTACTTTTTTTAATTTAGCTTATAATAATACTATAGGTTTATTAAGTATAACCTAGTTCTTTATCTAATACTTTAGTGTCCTTAATTTTATTATCTAGGTTTTATATAGAAGTAGCTAAGGGCTTCCCCTTACTAAAGCTAGATAAAGTAAAAGTAGTTTATAGTATAGATATCTTATTATATTTTACTATTAGGTAAGTATTAAGGTTAACTTACTTAATAAAAGTAATTAAAGTGTTATAGCTAGTTTCTAGATAGTAAGGTTTTTACTAATAGTAAGTAAAAGTTAATACTTAGTTAATAGTATTTATTATTCTTACTAGTCTTATTAATTACTTAGTAATTAGTTAGGTAGTTAAAAGCGTCTTAGTACTTATATAGCTTTTTATTAATTAAATTACTAAAGTTAGATACTAAAAGGTATTTAAAGAATATATTATAAGTTAATTACTAAAGAGCTATAAAAGTCTATCCTTAAGTACGTCTAAGTCTATTCTATATATAAGTCCTAGCTGTTCTCTAAACTACCTATTATCTAATTATTATAAAATAAAATAAGCGTCTTCCTAGGTATCTACTAAGCGCTTATTTTATATATAAATAAGTGCTTATTCCTTATTATATCTTATGCTTATAGTTATATAACTTATACTATAGCTCTTCTGTTCTAGGGAGTTATCTGTTTATCCCTGTTCTTTCTGTCTGTACAAATGCTGCTGTTGTCTACCGTCCGCCTGTTAGGTAGGGCAACATAGCCTATAACTTGTTAGGTTGTAATAAACATATAAAGGGCTAAAACTTCCTTTTAATAAGTATATAGTAACTTAATATAATTAATCTAAGCTAAAGAGAAAAGGAGTTATCTTATAGTGTTTATCTAGTGTATATGTTATTAAATAGGTGTGTTAACTAAGCGCTAACTAAGTGTAGGCGTACGCGTTATAGTAGGCCAAGCCTAACTATATATATTATAGCCGTACCTTATAAGACTGTTAGAGCTATATATTTATTAACTTAATATAGAAATACTAGTAGTGTTATATCTTTTTGTTATTTCTACTACTATACTCCTCTACTATCCTATAGCCTCTAGATGTAGCTGTCTTTAGCCTATTAAAGCAGGCCTATTATAAGAAGGTTAGATATCTAGATAAATAGGTTATAGATTTAACTATTACTAGTACTAATGTATTTCTAGAGTGTTACTTTAAGGCTTATAAGGCATCTATAACAAGCTAGAATATTAGAAGTAGCTAGAGGGCAGCTAGATTATAGCTAGCTACTATAAGACAACCTCCATCTAACCCCTTAGAATCAAAGGCCCAGCAGACCACCAGCCAGACCAGCCAGCCCAGCAGCCAACAGTGAGATAAAGCTGTATCTATCGTCCTATAGTCAACCCCTCATTGGTCTCCTGATCAACGGCATTAACTACACCAGTTGACCCAGCTAGGCAAGGATAGGTTAGATACCTATACTATTTGTCACCTATCTAGATAGGTGTAAAAGGGGTATAATAAGCAGGCATCTAGACTAGCCCTTCTAGAAAGGCGAGTCAACGCATTACAGGCCCAGTTAGAGGACTAGCAGTCACGTAGAAAGAGGAAGAAAACCCCCCTATCACCTAACAGCACCTTTGCTACTATTAAACAAATCCAGCGGGCGCAAAATACGGATACCGGTAATATAGATAGTCCGGATGAATCCAGCGCATCTGAATTATCTAGTGAAGCCGAAAGTTGCATATGGGTAGGCGGCAAGCCCGAGGAAATAAGTGATGATAAGTGGTGGTGATGATGGTGATGATGGGTTGTGATGGGTATTCAAATGTGGGGCCTATTCATAAGTAGGGTGGGGTATAGTATATAACACGGAGGACGGGATCAAGTGATTCTTTATATACCAGCAAGACTTAATACCATGTCCCTATAATCAGGCCCAATCGGTATGAAATATCTAGTTGTTGTCCGACTGCCCCAATGTCTAAATATCTAGCTAATTGGTTGGTGAGGATCAACAGCCGGCCAAATGATGGCCAGGCTCAAAGGTAGCAGGCCCAGTCATACACGCCTCCCTTGCATTTAGCATATGCCTGATTGAGATAGTACTGGGTAACACAGGCAACATCCATGTTGACGCTGGCCGTCTTGCCGTCCATTATGCAGACCCATCCGTCGCAGCCGTTGTCATTCTTCTGGGACGTCCATCCGTCGCCATTCTGGATCTGGCACGCCAGGTTCACGTCGACGCCGCCGAGCCAGGCACGAGCCTGCAGACTTCCGCTATCTGAGCCCCTCCCAGGCGTAGGAGAACCAAAGACACCAAAAGCTAGGCAGCTGAAAGCAACACCTAAGACGGGTGGGCGGTTTGCGAACATTGTGATGACTGCATTAAGCTCACGTTAGTGAAGATGATAATTATCAAGTGTAGAACGAATGGTGCCACGAACGACTTACCTTGAGATTGCGGAAGTAGTGTGTCTGCAAGGATTTAGAATGGGATTCGAACGTCTTCATGGGAAGGGGGTCAGGAAGGATTTATACGCCTTTGTTTACTCCTTATACCTTAGTCTTTCCTATCGTGTATAGATAATTTGAATGATAAAAATTACTAACCTTGTTAACACATAAATAGAATGGTTTATGCATTAAGTAAGTTACTTTACTGTATCTATATCCGTATAACTGAGGCCGTTGGTTGGTGTATGACCCTGCATAGGTAAGTATTAATGCCGAGCGTGTATTTACTTACTAGGGGCTCGGCGGACCTACCGTATCCACCAGTTCAGGGTCATATAGATTCTACTAGGGATCTAGAGCAGCAAAAGCTGTTAAATTAGAAGAATATTTAGCCGTCACCAGAGTAGGTATAGCCTATCCAGATATTATACTACATAGGTAATCGCTAGAGTGTTTAGCCGTCTTATACCCACCCTAGCACCTAGGAGGCAGGCTACCAGTGTTACTGTGTGACTGTCAACAAGTGAGGCATTTACGTGGGTCGCACGGCTGTACCCGAATGCTCCTAAGGAGTAGCGTTAAATTTACATAGGCGATTTGGTATTTTCCCATATCTAACCGCTTTCAGCAGCTTCGCCATATAGCCATAATAGGCCACTTCTTACAAAAGTACTACCTCCTGGAAGGTGTAGAGTATAAAACTTGCTCTACTGGGTTTAATTGTTAACGTTTAGTTTTAATTCTAAACCAGATCTACTAGGGAGGGTTAGAATGGTCTATCCCACCCTGCTTCCTACGCTGCGCTCTAGGTTGGGATGGGCTAAGACCATCCCTTTTGTTTTTTGCCTCTAGTAGTACTGCGATCTTAAAGTACATTGAGATTCTGTGGATAAGCCTATTTTGTGGCTGTTGCAGTGGGTCTCCTGCTGAGAGCGGTTAGATATGGGAAAATACCAAATCGACTATATAAAATTAACGCTACTCCACCCAAGTGGCCTAAGGTGACACATGACTCGTACATTTACACACATCCCGCGGAGAAACAGGCGATGGTTATGGATACACAAACACAATACAACAAGGATTGAGGCCGTAATATTAACTTTAACAGTTACAACCTAACAAGCCACAGGCGATGTTACCTCACTGGACAGGGCAGGCTTTTTAGTACATGGCACTTAGAGATTTACTTCACTATAAGATACTTAAGGGTCTAGTAGTTACATCTAGCCACAAGAAGCTATGTATATATTATGCAATAATAAGAACACTAAGAAGTAGGTTTATATACTTCTATAGTCAGGATCAGACTACTAGTTAGGTATCCAAGACATCGCGACAGGCACAATGCAAAAGCTTCAGGAGTAATACAGCTACATCATTCCCCCCCCCCCTCTGTTCTACCCTTGGAACCAACGCAGGCCAGCCCCCTAGCTAGATAAGGTGTAATGTACATTATACTTACACCACAGCCGCTGACATCTATTTGAGGCATGACAACAAGGCTCAGTTAAAATAGAGACTTAGTTATACATACTATTGAGGAGGAGGAGTGACTGCCAGCGTAAGTATGTAGTCCGGCCCAGGGGATACTAGTGCTAGAGGCATAATTACCGTAACCCTTGCTCTGCGTTGCAGTTGCCTCTCTCTGACTCACTTATAGCACCCCGATCCTATGCTATACGAGCTGACTTTGTGGGTCATGCCCATCTTGTCATTACCTCTAAGTCTGTACTAGGCAGTTGAAGAATGCCTGGTTAGCTTTCTGAGATGAATGCAACTCTGATTGGATGTGATGAGGGAGAGTTCTTTTATATAAGTACAGCATAGATATCCTGCAATCCGAGTTTTCGTCAACCTGCACCGCCCTTAGCACTAATAACCGGGTTTCTTTAGCCTTGACATCCTCATCATTTTTACACAATCTTTATTCAGTCGCCAGTCTTTCTTGGTAAGATTTTGTTAATGTCCTCATGTCCTAGTCACGTATCTCGCGGGTCTGCTGACTTGCTATCAGAAGCCTTCAACATGTTGAAGCATTCTATTCTTTTCAGCGCTATCGCCGGCGCTGCTGTCATCGCTGGGCCCGTTATGGCACTTGCGATGCCCTCGGTGGGCGAGTCGGTGAAGGCACCCGAAGATGTGCAGAGAAGAGTGGAAACCAGTGTCGATATGGAGGACGCCTGTCAGCGCGAGTATGGATCCGACTGGGAAGCCATTCTGAACGGGAGTGGGTGCAACGACTGGGCCTGTGTGAACACCACGAGCCGGCAGCAGCTTGGTCTCAACGTAAACTTGTATTGCTATGAGACACTCGGAGTCACGTCCTCCGCCTCTTGTAGTTCTGGCGCTTGGAGCTGGAGATGCGAGTCTTATTGATTAACGCGCCACGGTTGATGGGTGTGCCGTTGGGGGGGAGGCTAAGACACTTTTACACATTCAATAGGTACATGTCATTCGGTATGCAAGCTACACTCTAGAGATCAGATGTGAATTGGAATCGGACAGTCAAAACCCGTTTGTTAAATCTTCCTAACTGATGGCTGGCCCACTTAGACGGTGCAGACATGACTCCAGCCCGGGGTGCTTGCGGACATGACCAAGGAGCGTAGAGTCAATAAGCCAGGTCTAGATCACTCACATGCACCCGACGTTCGTCTCAAGCATGTTTGTATTCCACTATAGCAGATTTCTATTCTTCCGTATTATACATCGAAAACGGGTTCAACTAGAAAGACAGACCAAATTAAACTAAAGCAACAGGCCACGAGCTAAATTAAAACCATATCCTGCATCTCCACAGCAAGGACCTATTAGAAAGACAAGCTTCTTGCTCAGGGGAATTAACCGGCTGAATCTTTTGCCAGGTGAAGGAATTCCATGTGTTCCAAATTCTACCCCGGCTCGCCCGGGGTGGGCCCTTATGCCATGATATACAGGCCCGGGACCAGGTATAGTCACGCAGTATCCAAACTCCACACAGCGACGGCTGCTGCCTAGACCACAGCCCACTCACTATGCCAACTTTACATTATACTGAGGTGGTATTTTATATTAAAGCGTAGATCATAACTTTAAGTACTATTGAAACTTGAATCATATTATAATGACTGTACTCCGTACTTATATTATGTTGGCGGTCGCCCTGTTCTAGGCCTAGTGCTGTCTGATTAAAGTTTTAATAGTACTCATAGTTAGGGCTCAGTCTATGTTATTGGTCCTTTTACGAAGTTGCAATGGTCATCGGAGTTGCCGATCAGGGTCTCGGTGAATGAACTAGCTGATAACGGCTGCTGAAATGCTAACATTAGATCAGAGAGTCGACCCTGACGTGTGGGAGAACATGACTCCAATCCTTGAGCGTAAGAAGTGAGTAATACGGTAGGGTAGTCAACCTCGCCGATCCATAGAATCCCGGCAACACTGCCTTCTTGTCTGCGCGGATCGTGTACGGATACTCACGGGATTGTTTGGGTCAGTGTAGCAAAGTAGCGTCGCTTAGGTACTTCCTCCTTTACGGCGGTGAAAGTGGCACCTCGTCAGTATCTGTAAACAGCAGACTGGTCCTAGTGGTGTACCGCTCCTCTCTTCTGGGTCAATGTGGCCAGAAGAGCATATATAAGTGAGTAAGAAACCCTCCAAGAAGGATACTGTAAGTCACCAACAACTATCATCCATCTAAACCAGACCCCCTGCACTCTTAGTCATCTGTCTCATTCCAACCCCAAACTTCTACAGCTAATCGCCGCTCGCAACCATCAGAATGGCTCGTTACTTCACCCTCTTTACCACCATGATTTCCTTCCTCTCCCTTGGCCTAGCGACAGCTGCCATCGTGCGAGTGGACGATTATGTCGTTCTGAACGGCACCGCCCTACTGTTTGACCCCGTGGGGGGCTTCAACGATACCACTCGCGATTTGGCATGGCAGGCCGACTACTTCCAAACCTTGGATCTTTTGGCTATCAACGCTTTGTACCGGGAAGCGAACGCGGGCATCTCTCAGAGGGATCTCAGGCCAAGGACTGGTCCTACATGTGTATGTATAAGACAAAGCCGATAGGCAGGGCAATCATGTTCTATGTATCCAGGCTAACCTCAGTCAAAAGCTCGCCTGCATGGTCGTACAGCTGGCCAGCGGTGTTGCAAGCTCTAGAACAGAGGCCTTTGTAACATGTAGCCAAACCACTAGTAGCTGTGACAGTTTGACAATAACTACTTTAGAGAGCAACGTAAAAAGGTACTGGATTGCGGCCGGCATAGGATTATACACCGCTGGTAACTACGCTTATGATGTTTGGAGCCAGTACCGCTGGTGAGAACTGCTGGCATAGCAGACACAGTAGTAGTAGTTTGCCTAAACAGCCTGACAGTAAGGATTTCTATAGTTAGAACTAGATTTAGTTCCGGCTTTGATTTCCATTAGCTCAGTAGGCTGTAACACACTATTAGTTTACTCCGATCACTAATATACAAGATCTGTGTCTTCATTGGCTGTCGACTAGGCGGATCTAAATAGTCCTAGATGTGTAATCTTTTTTCACTTAACAGGGCTAGTATGTTTATACGTTTATATAGAAAGAAAATAAATATGTCGGGATATTCAACCGGTGAATGGTAGAGCCGACCCGAGGTCACGTGATCCACCTTACTAGCCCACTTACACCACCACAAATATCTACAGCAGCAACCTCTTCTTTCCTTTTTACAACATTATTATTATCTACACAAGCAACTAATAGTCAATTAACACTATTACTGGGGAGTGGTCGCTAAAGCGCCTGCTGGGAAACCTTCTATTAAGAAAACAAGCGGATTATATAGGCACGTCTGACCTGCAGTTGCCTAGTTACTCCTGTCAAAGTGGGCGAAATGGACGCGTGTGCCCAGGCGCAAGGTGGGGCAATTGCTGCATATGCACTAGTCATTTCCAGGATGGATTTCCCTACCTAAAACAAGGGAAAATAATTGTTAAATGTGGCGGAATTACACGTGAATTAACTAGCGAATGCACGGTTGCCCTATAGCAGATTGTTAGGGAATAGGCAGTGAAATCGCCCCACTGTTAGGGTGATTTCCACTAACTAAATAGCCAGGATTAACCTAAGATCTCCTAACAAAGAAATAAAAGGATTTCCTTATTCTTATAGATTTTTACTATAGTTATATAACATAAAATATAATTAGTTAATTAACTATTATAATTAATATATATATATAGTAAGTAAATAATTATAGTAAGCAGACTATATCTTCTTACCTTTTAATTATTTCTATAAGTTAATTTAACTAGATTATATAAAATTAATTAAAAATATATATTACCTTATTCTCTATTACTATCCTAAACTACCTTATAGGTTTATACGTTATATCTAGTCTTTCTATAATTACTATATTATTATATATATAGCTTACTACCCTCTATATAACCCCCCTTTTAAGACGTTTTCTTACCTCTAGCCTTAATACCTTCTTTTTCTCTTTATAGCGCCTTTACTTTAGTTATATTAAGTAACCCTTTAAGATGTAGTTAGGTCTTTTTAGCCCTTTACTACTTACTTAGTATATTTATCTTTATATAAAGTCTAAAGTTCTTAGCCTTAATAAAAGTAAGCTTATATACTAACTTACTAATACCTTTAGCTTAAAAGTTAATTACTTTATATACTAGTGTTAGTAAGCTTTCTTAATATCTTTAGATCTTTTTTTTAAGTAAACTAGCACTTTATACGCCTTTTAGTGCTATAGTTAGTGTCTTTAGGTCCTATAAGCCTAACCTAGTTAGATATAAGCTAGGAGGTATTAGTATATTTAGCTTAAAGTCTAGGTAAGAAATAACTACTTTAGGGTTAAAAGTAATAAGGCTAGCCTATTAAAAGCTAGCTTATATATTTTTTTTTATTAAAGTAAAAAATACTACTTTAAAGGTAATACAAAAGTTATATTTTATAATATATAAGATCTATATTTATATTATCTTTTTAATTTCCTTACTATATAAAAGCTTTAATAAGCTAAAATAACTTATATTAAAAAGCTAAAGCTTATATAATAAATAAAGAGATATATATAAAGTAATAATTCTTTTTTTTATAGTAGTTATTAAATTTAGTTAATTTATAGCTATTATAGCTATTTAGGATTAAAAGATAATAAGTACTTTTTATATAGAACTTTATATACTAATTAAAGTGTTATAGCTAATCTAGGCTAATCTTATTTATAGTCTATTTATTTTTACTTAGGTAGATATACTTTATAGCTAGAAATTAGCTATTTTAGTACTAAAAGAAAAAGTAATATTTACTTTTTATAATAATATATAAAGGTATTACCTAGCTATTTATATATACACCTTAAATAATAAAAACCTATTCTTAATTACTAGGCTGCTTTATATAAAGCTTCTTTTATAATTAGAGGTTATAATAACTTTTATATATAATAGTATTTTTATTAAGAAGCTAGTCTTATTAAAACTATAGATATTATAATTCTATATTTTACACTTTATAATTATATTTTATATAAGTATAAACTAGCCTTATATAATTATAAGATTCTTAGCTAAGGCTCTCTAATAGTTAATTTAATATTAAAAGTATATTTTTAATTAAGGTTATTATTATATAAAGTTCTCTACTTATTAAGGTCTAATATAAGTTATATTATATACGTTTAGAAGTTAGTTAGCTATATCTTATATATCCTCTTATTATAAAGAAAACCCTTAATTAATTAGGTTAATAACCTTTTTAAGAATTACCTCCCCCTTAACTTCTATTATCTTCTTTAAGTTTAGATACGTCTTGTCTTATATAACACGTCTTATACGTTAGTAATATAGTGTTATATAAGGGACGTTAAAGATAGTAGCTGCTCTTTATATAGACATTTTTAGGTCTTTTTAAATAGCTTAAAGAGTAAGGATATTACAGCTTTTAATTAAGGAGGATTATATGTTTATACGTAAAGAAATATTAATATAAAGGTTAAAGAGGTAAAAAGGAGGAAAAGTAGTCTGCTTACTATAATTATCTACTTACTATATATATACGTTATTAAAATTTAATAATTAATAGTTTAATATATATATTTATATTAACTAATATATCTACTTTTAATAAATACTATAATAATAAGTAATAAGAAGAATAATAATAAGATAACTATTTTATAAATATATAGTAATTAGCTTATATAGATTAACACTATTTATATAAAAGTAAAACACTATAATCTCTAGAAAGATATTAACCTAGAAGTTAAAGTATTAAACTAATTAATTCTTAAGATATTATTAAATTTTAAGGCTTATAATAGTTACTTAATTAATTATATTATATGTTATTATATTATATAACTATAGTTAAAATCTATAAGAATAAGGAAACTTCCTTATTTCTTAGTTAGGAAATCTTAGATTTTTCCTAGCTAATTAGTTAGTAGAAATTACTATAAAAGTAAGGTAATTTTACTACTTATTCTCTAATAATTAACTATAAGATAACTATATATTTACTAGTTAAGTTCTATATAATTCTATTATATTTAATACACCTCTTAGCACTAGTATCGTAATTAATTACTATAGCGTCTATACTAAATATTCTATATTTATAGCCTATTTATTTAGTAACTATTCTTTAATATCTTATATATTTTTCTTTTTTATCTAGTAGTAAAGCTTTACTTTATTATTAGCTAGTTCTTACTATTAATCTACTTAAAAGTATATATATTACTTACTTATATTTAATTAAGTTATTAATATAGTAAATTATAGTGTACTATATATCTTTACTAATCTATTAGCTATTAACTTAATAGACTTCTTATATTTAATAGTAATCTAATTTATTACTACCTCTTAGAATAACTATTAGTTATAAATACCTATATATTATAGCCTCATTTATAATTTAATAAGGCTTTTAGTAATAAGCCTAGTAGTCTAGGTATTATTATAGTTAATATAAATAGTTTATAGCTATTTAGTAGCTACTTACTTATTAAGTAATAATTTATTTCTAGGTTAAGTTAATAGTTAAATACCTAGTATAGTAGTTAATTTATTAGTAAGAGGGGTCTCTTTTATAATAAATAAAAGTACTAGTAATTTAGCCTTAGTAGCTAATATTATTACTATATCTTACTTATTAGCTTACTAAGAGATAAGCCCTCTAAATAGCTTTAGTATAAACACTTATAAGCTATAATAGTTTAATAACTTATTAGTAAATAAGGTATTAAAACTAATCTCTAAAATATTATTATTACTACCTAGTCCTACTTTATATTTATAGTAAAAGTACTATATTTAATAGAAATATCTAAGTATATAATTCATAGTCTTTTAATAATCTAGATCTGGATTATAATTCAAGTAAGTAAGCTAGCTAGCTATAAAGGTAATATCTAGCTAGGTTACTACTAGTATATAAAGAATTATTATTACTTTTTTTAAAAATTCGTTAATATATTATAATAAGGCTATATATTTACTAAGTAGTAGCTTAGTACTTACTATAAGTAATAATTTATTATATTTCTTTTTATTATAAGTAATTTAGTTATTCTCTTATAATATATTACTTATAAAACCTAAAGATAGTAGTTATCTTAATTATAAATTACTTTAAGGCTAAAAAACTACTATAATAGTCTTTTACTTTTAAGATAGTATTACTACTAAAAGGCTACTATCTTATTACTTACTTACACTTTATTTATATAGTTATATATATATATATAGTTATTAATAATAAAAAAAGATTTACTATAATTCTTTCTTTAAAAGTAATTCTTACTAAGCACTTAGTAAAAGCATTATCCAACTCTTGGAAAGAACGTAGCAGAGGAGAATATGTGAGCCCTACGAATCTTACTTTGATTAAAACAAGCGCTATAGGATACTACCTAGTGGAGTTTTGACCCGCCATCGTTTGCCGTCAGTGATAAGCATGTTGGTCTCGAGGTCTCAGCCTCTAGTGTCTTATAGGTGGTAAGCAATGGTCGTTCGGTTATTGCATTTCCAGACCCGTATACAACGTCTTCCGGCCCCGGCGAGTCAGTGGTAGATGTTCCGTACAGGTTCGTGGAGCATGTGATCTACACACTCGATACTGTGAATGGAACTCCTTGGCTGGGGGGGTCCAGGGCCTGCAGTACGACGTGATTTTGACGGGCAATGAGTCTAATTTAGCAGATAGGACGACCGCAATGGGAAAAGACATAACCAAATTTCCTACGCCAGGCTCTGCAATCGTCACAACCTATCTACGGTGACATGCGGCTACGATTGACCGATTACCTG